TTAGTCACCAAAAATCTTTGGATTCTTTATGGCTACCAAATATTTAGTCATTAAAAATATTGATTTCCTTTTTGGCTACCAATTGGTTAGTCACTAACAAATTCACTTCTTTTTTTTTTCGCTACTAAACATTTAATTGCCAAAAACTTTATTTAGTGTTTTTTTTATTATAATTAATTTCTTCACAACCTGTATTTATTTCGTGCAACTTGCACCCTATATTTAAACAATAATTATACATATATCTATTTCTATTTCGTTTCAACAATACAAAAATTTGATCAATTAACATCAAATTCTATACAAATCAAATACAATTCATCCCAAAATATTAATTCCATACAAACACAAAATCATACAAAAAAGATGTCCTCTGTACAAAAAATTATACATCAAATGAAAAAATACATAATATTTTGAAGGTGTAAACATGATGGGAAAATTAAATTTATTTACTAAAGCACTTGCTTAATTTAACAATGAAGCCATTGATCTAAAGGCTTCTCATCCTTCAAGCCTGCTTCATATAGTTTGGTATCTTTCTTTCTGAAGACACCAACTGCAAAATAATAATCAACCTCCCAATCAGCGGAAGCATTTAGCAAATAAGTATAGATAATTAAACAACAAGAAAAAAACAGTGCCTAGTAGCCTCATTGGGAGCTTAGCTGGTTTCTTGTTCTTCATCATCTAGGAATTGAAAGAAAAATGAGCATATTCTCAATGGTAGTGTAAAGAAAGAACAGAGGAAAGCTTAGCACCTAATTGCATACCAAACATAATAATGAAATGAAGATGTGAACTTGTTCATCTCCTCCAACCTTCTCTTCATTTTTTAGTACATTAGTATTGCTTTTGTTTTGCCTTAAGTGGTGATTACATAGTAGATGTGGCTCAATTATTATGCACTTCAAATTTGAGACTAGTGTTAAAATTTCTTCCCATAACATCTTACACCAAGTTCTTCCCATAAAATGTCTTAACATAACATCTTAAATTGTCCTATATTTGTTAGTTATTTCGTCTTTATTATTTTGGAAACAGTACACATCGCAGTGTAGTAAAAGATTCACCAATTTGAGCTGTGAATTTCTAGTTAATGCCAGCTACACCATCTAACAACATACCTCTCCAGCATAATGGCAAATACCAAAAGCTCCACCTCTTTCTCCTTTAAAGCAAGGATTACCACTCAAGTGTTGCTTAAGCTTATTAGCAAAGGTCAAATAAGTGGCCTTGGGGAAATTTGAATCTTCATCCAACAAAGATATTAGCCCTATAGGTTTCTGCAAAAGGCATAGCAGTGAAGCCATTAACACACAATCTACCACACATGAAGGAGTGAATTTAAATATGAAAACCTATAATTAGGTTTCATATAACATGGTATGATCAAAAAGATGAGAACTTGGTGTATAATTATGCTTAGGAAGCAATATATTCAATCTTTTATTTTCTTTACAACTTCAGTTTATAAGAAACAATATTACAATAAGAACATGGTTTGAATTATGCATGAAAGGCTAACAAAAATAGTCAGAGACCTAGGACGACCTATGTGGTATGGCATCATATGTATATGAAATATAGTCCAATGCTCACATAGATCAGCACAAGGAACTCTGAAAAACTCGACAATGAACATGTGAGTGTGTGTGCGTGTGTGTGTTTGTGTTAAAAACAGAACTACCTTCTCAAATAGATTCAAACACTCTTGGTTGTCTTCAAAATCTACTTTTGTCCAATCAATTCCATCTAATTCATACTCCTAAAAACAAAATAAACAAGTTGCAACATTAATATACTGAGACATTCAGTTGTCCTCATCCAAACACTGTTGATAACAGATGCAATTAAATTGGAACCTTTATTTATTAAGGTCATTAATCACAGATGCAAATGAAAGACAGGGGAAAAGAAATTAAGGAAAACCTGAATAGATGCAAATGAACTACAAATAATAATAATAACAATAATTGACTAACCATGAAAGAGATTATACAAAGCAATTCAAAATAACTATACCAATGCCATGACCCATGAGCATAACAATTCAGCGAAGTAAATACATTTCAAAATAATGCAAATAACCATGGAGGCATAGCAACATAATGACAATCATAAATGCAAAAAATCCAAGAATATATGGAAACCTAAAAGCAGACTCTAAAAACATTAATTAAAACAAAAGACCAAGTTTGAAGCCATGCTCTCTCTCTCTCTCAATTAATCTATAACTAAGCTTGTTTAGTGTCCCAAATATTTGACATGATCTAATGGACTGACTCTAGTCTGGAAGGTTTGATGTCAAATCATACTAACACTATGTAAAGTTGATTTGCAATTAAGATGAATTCTTCTTTGAGGCATTTCATCAAACACCCTGTCCACCAAGGTTATTATATAAGAGCAACACAGTAGATATATATATATATATATACCTGTCCACCAAGGGATAATGGTCCATGTAACACAGGTGCAATGGAAAGGAAAGAAATAATATGTCAGGTAGTTCAAGTTAAAGCACTCCAAGGACCTCCATTTCAGAGCCAAAGCACTCAAACTCCCAAAACTGTTTACAATTTTAGTGAAGTTTATACCTATTAATCACGAATTGAATGTTGATTAATCATATTCTATAACAAATATACTTGAGAAATAAAGAAATAAAATTTCAAATCCAAATCGATTCATGTAGTAATTTTCCCAAATTCAAAAGAAGAACAAACTCACAAAATTAGGCATAATCGTCACAAAGCATCACCAACAAGAGTTACAGACAAATATCATAGGGTTGTGTGTGTGTGTGTGTGTGTGTGTGTGTGTGTGAAAGAGAGAGAGAGAGAGAGAGAGAGAGAGAGAGACCGATTGGGCATTATGGTTACAGTGCCATTATGCTGTAGTATTCCTATCAAAAAAGGCATAGTTCCTACATATACTCCCCAAAAAATACTAAATGTAATACTGAAATTGATGTTGAACCGAGCATTCCCATAGTGAGCAGTTTAACAATCATCATAAAATTGGCATGTTAAAATTTTCAATGTATTAAACAAAATGATACGCTAAGACTTAACCACAACCAACCCCAGCCACACTATCCCCATCCCACCAATACCTCTTCTTCCCTCACCAAGGCAGAGTTCTCATCCATAAGGCAGGGTAGAACCTCCATAGTTTAAACCTTGGTACTGAAACAAGCAGATTACATGAAACTCTTCTACAACTAAAATCTATATTGATTACATCTTCGTGTCAATGACTAGCCATTGCGAAAATTAATGAAAAGAATAGAGCACACATGCATGTACCATACATAGAAAGAAAGAGAAAGAAAGCAACTCACTTACTTTTCACAAGCACCCTTCCTAAACTTTTCAGCCTGACAAATTTTTGCACCTCTGTCACACCACCTCTGTCACACCCTTCCTAAATGTAAATTTAACAATTCAAATTAAAAAAAAAAGGAAAAAAAAAAACACTAACAAAATTAATGTCCCCTATTTATTGTGTTTTCAACATTATAAATTGAATGAATCAAGATATGAACAGGATATATAAGATATTGAATGAATCAACACTATAGATATATATATATATATATATACCAGTATATATGTATATAGAAAGAACAAAGAGAGAGTGAAATTTCTACCTTGGCCCCTCCTAAGTATAATTTCTAATTCCACCCTTGATTCTGCCCTATGCGAAGATATAGATGGAGTGTGGTAACTCTTCAATTCAATTCAAGTGTTCAGAAGTACTAAATGACCATATACTTCCAACATATCGTTGCATTCCTGAAATTTTATGCATCAACAATTAACTAACATCACCAACCTTTCTCGGCACTGCTTGCCTATTCGACCTGGTAAGAACTTTGCAATAGCAGACCATTTCTTACAACCATACTTCTCGTCTTCGGCAGCCCCCGCCTTTGCCTCGCCTCCGCCTCCTCCTCCCCGTGAACAACTGATCAATTTTATCTCCTCCTTCATCCTCCTCCTCCCTTCTCTTCTCCTTCTCTTCTTCTCCACCCTTCTTCTTCGTCTTCCTTCTGCAACAAAAACCAGGAAAAAGAAAAAGAAAAAAAAAAACAAAGACACCAAAACGACGTCTTTTTGGTGTCGAGCCACAGATTCGAGCCACGGATTCAAGCTACGTAGCGAGGTCGCTATACATATTTGTCTCTTGCAATAATGTATATCATTGTAACATATCACTTTGCGACCAAATTTTCTTTGAATTTGACACCTCTCATGTAATTTCTAACAAAATGAGTGACACATTATTATATAGACTCCCCTTTTGATAAAAGTTAAAGAGATGAAAATTAATGTAAATAATATATAAACACAAAGATAAATAATATATATATATTAATATAACATAAATAACAATATCATTTTTCTACCGATATGACCAACATATTGTTGATGAAAATGGAGCTGAATATAATGTGAATTAAAACCTTAAAAAACCTAATGTAATTATGTCAAAACTGTACAACTTGCTATATTTTTTTCAAACTTTAGCAGAGGTAGTATAATTTAGCCAATACAAAAATTAGTAGATAGAGACTCAATTGATGATACCAAAATTTAGAGCAAATATCAGAATAGTAGACTCAACTGATGATATAAATCAAATTAAGGATTCAGCCTTTCGTTTGACATGGGGCTAAAAGGTTAAAATAGTTACAAAAAGATAAAATAGACTAAAAAGTTAAAAAGACAAATCACATTCAAATTATAATCATTTTAATTTTTCTCTCACAAAAGTCAAAAAGGTCAAAAAAATCCAACCCAAACAAGGCTTTAGCCCAGGCTAAAATAGCCAAAAAGCTAAAAAACGAACCCACTTTCCAAACGAAACCTGAGTTCTGTTTCTGTAACAAATCCAAGATTTACACCAGAAATCCTAATGCCAATAACAATCCGAATACCCAAGAACAATAAAAGAACAATGTATATTGTTCGATAAACTCTTTAATAAGAATGTTTAGAAAATTTGCGACTTCACCATGGAACTAAAATCACAAACTCATTTTATTCATTTTTACACAACAAACTTTGTAGCAGTCGAACAAGAGCAAACAATAAAAGAATGGAATAAACGAATAATCACAACACAAACATAGTTAAAAATACTAGTGATAGATTTTTTTAGTCAGGAGGGTGCACAAAAAGGTACTCTTTTGCATAATGATACAAGGTAAGAGATAGACTTGACTTACAAGGAATGAAAAAGATTTCAAAGCGAATTTTAAGCTGCCTCCGCGGATAGGATCTCAAGTTCGGCCCACCAGAGGGGAGAGAGTCTTGGAGTTGCTGCATCGGGTGATATAGCAATCACGTCCCTCAGTTTTGAAGTGACTTCTTTCATGGTTGGTCTCTTCCTCATGTCTTGTTGAATGCAATCTTGGATTACCTCGCAGATGATGTCAAGCTCATTGTTTTTGAAGGACTTCAACGTTGGATCGATCATGTTGCAGAATTTCTGCCTATCGTTCAAATATTCAGCAGCCTGACAAAGTCAAGAAAACTCATGTTTATAAGATTACCCAATAACTTACATATAAGGTTGCCAACAAACTAAGTTGTTCATGAACAGTTCAAGCGACTCATTTAAAACTTGTTTGAACTCGAGCTAAAGCTCGGTCTCTATTTTTAGATAAGGCTCATGAACACAAAAAAATATGAATAAATATTTATTTCAAATAATATATCAAAATTATTTTTATTACTTAATTTTATTTCTCTATATGTTTGGTGTTTAAGTAAATTGACATATTTAATTGATAAGATTTATTATTAATATGAGCATTTGTATATTTTGTTCATAATTTTCTTCATTTCCTCTTAATATGCAAATTAATTTAATTTTTTTTTGCCAAGCTCAAGTTTCTCAAGTACTTGGAGAAATGAGCTGGAGTTCGATTTTTTAAGCTCGACTTGAGCACGGCTTGAACTTGAGCTTGACTAATTCTTAGTGAACCAAGCTTGAACACCCTAAAGCTTAGCTCGATTCGTTTGCAACCTTACATACAACACCAATCTATGCAACAAGCACAGAAATAGGGCAGTGAGAATATTTGGTTGAAAGTGTACCCAGTTCATAAGAGGCCCTTGTTCATCCGAATAAGGGAGCTTCCCAGAAATGAGTTCAAGCAACAATACTCCGAAACCATAGACATTTGTTTCAGGATCAGAAATTGGTGGCAGTTCAGAATGTTCCGATTCACCTTCCCCTGAATTTTTATGCTTGGAAGAAGCCTCTGCCCAGAAACCAATCTCCGCAATCTGAGAAAGCAAAGGAAACATATAAAATATAAATACACACACATGTACAAAAGATATAAAGGAAAAGGTTACGATAACATATCAGAATATGGGATAGAGAAAGAAGCCTACTTTAGCCGCATAATCATCTGTCAAAAAGATCGCATTTGAATTCACATTGGAATGTGGCACAGGTGGGTTCAGGTCATGCATGTACTGAAGACAGTATGCAGTTCCCATAATAATCCTTGTCCTTGCGTGCCAGTCAAGATGTTCCATTTCTTTAACTGAAAAAAAAAAGGGACGGATTTGCACAAAGAAATGAAACCTCGAATTTTAACTGTATGAGTAACATTAAAGATACACGTGGCAAGTAGTATTACCGTGCAGATGCTCGAAGACGGTTCCGTTGGGAGCGTACTCAAACACCATCATTCTAGTAAAAGGTTCATCGTCCTCACAATAGCCAATAAGATTAACGAAGTTCTTGTGGTTTACTCTTGACAGTGAATCGATCTGCACAAAGACCACAACAAAGAAAATTAAAATCCTTTTATGGAGAAGAAGATAGGTTGTGTTTCCATGAAACATCATGATTGATGCAATACTGACAAACCTTTTTCCGGTAGGCCAGTACTGAGCGCTTTGACCAGTCTTTGGCAGAAGATATTGCAGGCGATGCAACAGCAATCTCGACTCCACTTGATAGTGTTCCCTTATATACTGTGCAACCATCAACGGTATCAATAATGTTGCTGAAATCCTCACAGGCCGTTTCTAGCTCTGCCCGATTCAGTTTGGGAACCCCTACATTTTTAAATAAAAAATATCATTCATTTCTTACACCAAACAGGGCCATAACTTACAGCAAACAGGGTTCAAGATTGTGCTTGCTTGATTTGCATTTGTTCAAGTACCGGGAATGGGGGTTAAATCAGTCACAGTGAAGTGACCAATTAACAGTTTAATTGGCCAGCTCTCTCTACAGTTTAAAATGAGGGGATTACATTAGGAAAACTTACCTGTAACAAATGCCTTCTGCAACTGTCCGCTCAGTCCAGTTTTCCAAGGGCCAATAGTCGCCACTGCTCGGCTCCGACACATAAAGAACATAACAGCAGCAACACTAAGTAGGAAAGCAATGCCAGAAATCAAAACTAAATACTTCCACGTATCCCCAGAAATTCCACCGGACGAAGGTGGTTGTTCAGCCGGCTTAACAGTTGAACCAGAGGACTGGTGGCTATCAGGATTCGATGCATCGTGATTCTGTTGGGTCGATGGATCAGTAGGAGAAGGTACAGGCGGAAGCAATTGCCCTTTCTTCGCATTCGGTACAGCGGGGAAAGATCCACTACCTATGGGAAGCCGGAAGAGCAATGCTCTCCGCAGAAGGGAACCCGCCAACAGCTGGGGCAGCCGCGAGATTACTCGACTGTTGAAGTAGCCTTCGTCTTACGGTATTTACTAAATTTTGTATGTTTTGGACGGTGTGCATCTCATGCGTATCTACGGAATGCAGAATCAATGTCATCTCTCTTAAAAGCATAATAAACTGATGATCAATGAGAGAAGACTCAATAAATTTCTAGGGTAAATTACATTTTCACCCCTCTAGTTTGACTCTAATTTCATTATGGTCCCTATTATTTTAATTTGAAGAATTTGGTTCTCTACAATTTGGTCTCCAATTTGACCAAATCGAAACTATACTTGAGTTGTAGGGACCAAATTGTTAATTCAAAACAAGGACTAAAGTGAATTTGAGACAAAGTACAAGGGTTTAAAAAAAAATGTGTAATTTACCAAAATAAATTGCTTTTACTTACCTGGTTGATTGTCACAGCAATTATATGCAGGGTTCTGCAACGAATCGTCTCCAGATTTAAACCTTCAAGAAAGATCAAGTAGTTACCATCACGAAAATATACTCTGAATATTATGATAAAATAAAAAACAACAAAATTAAAAGAGGTAAAAGAACATATTGATTCCATACAGTGGCAACACATTGAGGTAATGTTTAAGTCTCCCTTTAATTGGGATTATGAAGGAATCTACTTTCTTTAGTTGTTTCAAACCGCTCAGCCAGATGCTGCACAAGATACATTAGAAGATTAGAAAAGCAGTAAAGGAGAAAAAGACGTAGAAATACTATGTCATAAATTATAATCAATCCTATAAAATGAGATTTCTGATCAATCCTCCTAAAACCATAGCATAAACTCGGTATGTTTATAACAAAAACCAGAATTTGATAGTAGAAATCTCTTACCAGTGCCCAAACTTTCTATTCACGCAGCCAATCCCAGCAGACGTAGCAGACGTAAGGTTTTCATCAAACTGCAATTCGGAGAGTAAATTGAGCTTCACAAGCTCCAGAGGAATTTCTCCTTCAAAATTATTGTTACAAAGCAACCTGGAGTACAACATTTAGTTTAGTCTAGGTAGATAAAATTTTAGCCTATAGAATAAAGATCCAAAATATCCGTAAATGATGAACTCACAAGCGTTTCAGTGACTGTAGTCCTCCAATTTCTGCTGGAATAGTCCCGGTCAACTTGTTATTTCTCAAGTCCAATACCTCCAGCTTTGTAAGTCCTTTAATCTCTTTAGGGATTGTACCAAAAAAATGGTTGTTGTAAAGTACACTGTTAAACAAACATAAGAAGGAGAACCCAAAAAAAAAAAAAAATTGTAAGATCCTGAAAATGAGCAAGGGAAAGTACCAAAGCTGCGCATGTAAATGCTAGTCATATTCATTAATCAATGGGAGCCAAATCAAATGATATAGAGAATATATAGATGTCAATACAGTTTTTTAAAGAAAAAAATATATAGTCCCAAAACTTGATATATTGTTTTTATATGTTATAGTTGAGTCAAATAAAAGAAAAATAAAAAACATTCAACCAAAAATACCCCCGTCACCCAAAAATAGCAGGTGACGTCTCTGACTTTTTATTATTATTTTTCGATTGGACATGTTGGGGACACTGCACGGACATGCGTGTCGTGTCCAAACATTCCCCAGATGCGTTTGTAATATCCATGTTTGTACCATATAAAAATATTTTCTTTTTTTCTTATCCGTATCCTGATTTTTTTTTTAAATCGTTGTGTCTGTCCTGAGAAATGCACATTTGTGAAACTATATTACAATAAGTGTATCAAAGTTCGTCAGACCAATTTCTCGAACACAATGGAAATTTCATGGTCACACTCCCAAACTCTCTCTCTCTATATATATCTGGGTAAATTCATTAAAGAGCACCAAGTTTAACCCATAAACGTGAAGTTTTAAAAAAAAAAAAAAGACACTAGTAAGAACTATATGTCTCCTAAGAAAATGAACATAAGAAACCTTAGACAAAGATGCCATCCCCCAACAGCCATGAAAAATGAACTAGCCATGACACGCTTCAGCTAGTTAATTCCAAATACACATATATGCCCAGGTATGCAATCGCTTTTTGCTCCATATGCAAATATCATTATGCACCACAGATTAATTTCTGAAGTGACCCTGCGTTTTACAAATTCCAATCTAAAACTGCAAACCATATAGGGGCCACCAACCAAGAACCAATTCAGACTTGTTTCATAGAGAAGATTAGACCAACTTGATGAAAAACGCAATGGAATGAACACAAGTTGACGCAATACTCTCAGCATGAATAATATTAATCCACATGAAAAGTTTACAATAGAACCAAAAGCATTGGAAAATAGTATGTGAATTAAGAAGCTTCCTAGGATGACTTGCATATGTAAAAATTGTTGGGAAAAATAATACTGTGTGTGCTAGTGGAAGCATGCCCAAAATAAATATGCGCACGCATGCACACATAAAAGAGACACCAATATTTAACGTGGTTTGGCCCACACCGGCCAACATCCACAAGCGAGAGAGGTAAATCTACTATAAATAATAGAAAGTATAATGGTGAGATCATAAAAAAAAAAAAAAAAAAACAACAACAACAACATAACTCTAGTTCCTTGCTTAAAGATAATTGAGTCCTTGACACCCAAACCCAATAGGGTTCCCACTCACTGGAATTTTTACATCTCACTTCCCTAACATCTATCTATCACACCCCCCCAAGCAGCTCTCTCCACTCCTTAAGGCAACACACCTCTCCTAAATATATTTTTTCTACACCCAGGTACTAATACTCATAGAAACCCCTCTCCTACTTATAATTTTTCTACACTCACGTATTAATACTCAAAGAAACCCCATGTCATAGGATACTGCCTTAACTTCCCTTTTCACATAGCTGTTTGTCACTCATTAAATGCACGTGATGCTCACTTTTTCAACTTGTTCAAGTGCTGCTGACACAAGCCATCTAATGTTACTTTAATAATTGTTAAATGATTCATCAAACTGCCCAAAATTGCTGATCAATTTTCCTCAACTATCCAAAAATTTAAACTTAAAATTGCAAACACATTGTGTTTGCACCATCACTAGTGATTTAGGTAATCCCCCAATGCCAGCCAAACTTGAAAGCAGCCTGTACAGTTTTTGATATCTTAGGTTACCAAATGAATCAAGCAATCCAGCAGATATGAAAGAACACCCAACTGTGAATGCAAAGCCACATAAACCAAATAATACTTACAGAGATCTTAGGTGAGAAAGCTTCCCAAGGTCTGGGGCAAGTTCCCCTGCCAAGGAAAGTCCATTGAGATCCCTACACATAAATTAAATAGCAATACGTCAGAAGATAGTGATTCAAATTGTACAAATCTAAACCCTCGTCATCGAATCTTTAAACAATAATCTTGGCTTTCGTTCATAATAAATTCTAACTACAAAAGATTCAACACATATGCTCACTATTTGACGAAAGAAGACATTCATTCACATTTTAAGGAAATAAATTGAAATGAATGTAATTGGAAATTTTTTGAGTAAGTCTAAGAAGGACTTACAGATATTGCACTTCACCATCAACGCAATGAACACCGAACCACATACATGGGTCATCATCATCGGAATTCCAATTTGAAAAGGCGCTATATGGGTCATAATCCACTCTTGCACGGAATTCCAACAATGCCAATCCTGCACTTTGATTCCACATACCATCAGTAAAAATGGACAACCTTCAATCATCAAATGAAATTATGGGTATTCAACAACAATGTCAAAGCACAAATTACCTTCAGGATTAAGAGACCAACACCCTTGAATTTCCAAAATAAGAATCAATACCGCAAAACACGATAACTGGATTCCATTAGTGTTCCATCTAACCCCCATTGCTTTGCAAACCATATAAGACAGTATTGGAGGTGGCTCAAAGCCAGGATTTTATACAAACTCGCCAGATTTTGTTTTGCACAAAACACCCTCTCCGAGATTTTACTCGGATTTTCGCACCAAATTATGAACAACACAACAATTTGCCGGGTTTACAAATATGAGAAGTAATGTATGTATACAAATTTGCAAACACATACAAACTATAATACATAGAAGATAAAATTCAGAGGCCTCTTGAAACGAATGACCAAATTGGGGTCCCTCATATTATTGGTTTTTTTATATTTAAATTGTAGGGTACAACAACTTTGTTTTCACCAGCAATCGCATAACCCAGATCAAGAAATTATCTCTAAGGTTCAATCCAAGCTGAAATTCAACAAAAGAAATGATTAACAATCTAAAGAGGGTTCCAAAAAAAGAGTATTTCACAAGTAACAATACAAAAGAATCAAACAAAAAAGTGAATCAAAGAATACACTCGTGAGCAAGCAATCTAAGAAAAGCAAAAAAGGGTTTGAAATGCTTCAAAAAAAAAAAGATTAAATTTACCAGGAAAGAAAAGGACAAAAGGGCAGTCAATGAAACAATTAGTTGCTGCTGTCGTTGATGTTGGTGAGGTGTGACTTTCTCAGGGTAGAAAATTCTTCAAGAAAACGCAAAGAAAATCAAGGTGGTGGGGATTAATGTTGATGATGATGATTGGGGTGATAGTGATTGTGACTCCAAAACACAGCAAAGAAAAATATTTTAAAATTGGATAAAATAATTTTGCAAAAAAATTAAAAATTTAATTAAAAAATTTTGAATTTTTATTGACTGCCCTTTTCAGGATGATCTCAGAGGAGGAACCTCTCTTCGACCACCTTCTCTGAAAGAGGGGGGCAAAAGCTCGATGTTTTGTTTTCTCTCTCTAAATTTGTTGTTTGTGTCATTCTCTCTCCTCTCTAAACACCCCCTCTACCAGGGACACCACCACCCCCACAAACTGTGTGTTTTTTTTTTATTTTTTATTTTTTGAGTTTTTTTAATAAATTATTTTTAATGGGGGATTTAGTGGGGCCAGGTTGGACCGCCGGGAAAAAAACCGGTTAAACGATCTGCGGCGGCGGCGGGGTGGTGGTGGGTGTGTTTTGAGTGGTGGTGAGGGCCTCCATAACCGATTTATTCGGACGCGTTTTTTTAGATTCATGCTCTTATTACCATGGTTGACCACAACCCCACATCTTTTGTGGGTTTGCGTGCTAGCCTCTTTGCCTCTCTTAACATTATTTTAATTTAATTTTTTAAAGGATTAAAATACTCCTGATTTTTATAAGAGAGTAAATTATTTCCTTCATGTTTTTATGATGGTTGGATTTCCTTCATATTAATATTTTAAAATGGAAATTTTTTTGGGATTTTTATAAGATTTATTATGAGTTTTATTTTGATAATTTAAATTATTTATTTTATAAAGCTCTAATTATATTATTTATGAAAAAATTTAAGACAATTCGATAATTGTAATCTTTTTATTTTGTCGAATTTGTTTCTAAAAAAATGAATGGTGAATTTCAAAAATATATTTGTCATCTATTTTTTTTGAGATAAATGCGACGAAATGAAAATATTATGATTATTAGATTGAACTAATTTTTTTTCATAAATAATATATATCGATAGACCTATAAAATGAACGGTTTGAATCATCACGTGGTGAGCTCTAAAGGCGTCTCAAGTTCTCTCATGTTGTTGAGAAACCCAATCCTTTTGATAATGGGTGTGGCTCCTCTCAAGTTGTTATCTCAACTAGAGGGAGTATTTGGATTTAGTAAATTAGGAGTGAGCAACGGATATATCGATCCGCCAAAATCTACCGAACTAAACCGATCCGTTGCATTTTAGACGGATGTGTGATGACGAGTGGACGTTTGCGGATTGATTTTCTCCAATTCATCAATCTGGCGGACAGATGGCGGATTTGAGTTTCTTTTGGCTGCAACCGAACCGCCAAACCGCGAACACCCCTAGTAATTTATAAGATTTTGTGTTTTCAGTTTGTTTAAATATTCTGTTTGTGTTTTTAATTAAAAAGAGTTTAAATATTTTGTGAAAAAAAAAGTTTTCAACTTGAATATCTTTTTTGAATTGAAAAAAATAAACGTATTATTTATCTATATTTTTTGTTTTTAAATCTATCTCTAAAAATAATAAATAGAAAATATGATATATGCTGGTTGGTTTTTATTTTCAAAAACAGATATAGATGTAACAATACTCTTAATGTTGACCACGACCCCACATCTTTTGTGGGTTTGCGTGCTAGCCTCTTTGCCTCTCTTAACATTATTTTAATTTAATCTTTTAAAGGATTAAAATACTCCTGATTTTTATAAGAGAGTAAATTATTTCCTTCATGTTTTTATGATGGTTGGATTTCCTTCATATTAATATTTTAAAATGGAAATTTTTTTGGGATTTTTATAAGATTTATTATGAGTTTTATTTTGATAATTTAAATTATTTATTTTATAAAGCTCTAATTATATTATTTATGAAAAAATTTAAGACAATTCGATAATTGTAATCTTTTTATTTTGTCGAATTTGTTTCTAAAAAAATGAATGGTGAATTTCAAAAATATATTTGTCATCTATTTTTTTTGAGATAAATGCGACGAAATGAAAATATTATGATTATTAGATTGAACTAATTTTTTTTCATAAATAATATATATCGATAGACCTATAAAATGAACGGTTTGAATCATCACGTGGTGAGCTCTAAAGGCGTCTCAAGTTCTCTCATGTTGTTGAGAAACCCAATCCTTTTGATAATGGGTGTGGCTCCTCTCAAGTTGTTATCTCAACTAGAGGGAGTATTTGGATTTAGTAAACTAGGGGTAAGCAACGGATATATCGATCCGCCAAAATCGAACGAACTAAACCGATCCGTTGCATTTTAGACGGATGCGTAATGACGAGTAGACGGTTGCAGATTGATTTTCTCCAATTCGTCAATCTGGCGGACAGATGGCGGATTTGAGATTCCTTTGGCCGCAACCGAACCGCCAAACCGCGAACACCCCTAGTAATTTATAAGACTTTGTGTTTTCAATTTGTTTAAATATTCTGTTTGTATTTTCAATTAAAAAGAGTTTAAATATTTTGTTAAAAAAAGTTTTCAACTTGAATATCTTTTTTGAATTGAAAAAAATAAACGTATTATTTATCTATATTTTTTCTTGTTTTTAAATCTATCTCTAAAAATAATAAATAGAAAATATGATATATGCTGGTTGGTTTTTATTTTCAAAAACAGATATAGATGTAACAATACAGAGACATGCAATCTATACTACTATTTTGTTCATGATTTTGGTGGTTTGAATTGTTTTTGTATTTTAAGAACCACAGATTGTAATACTTTATATGGATGAGGCATTCAGTGATTATAATATTTTTTTAAGTCATTAACTGTAATACTTTTTTTTTTTTTTTTTTTTGAGGAAGTATACAAGTTAAATTATGTTGAAAATTTATAAAATTTTAAGCCGCCAAACCGATTCGCATCCATCCACCAAACCGCCAATCCACTCAATCCACATCCGTCGGATTGGCAGACGGATGCAGATTGATTTTCTTCAATCCGCCAATCTGACGGACGGATAGCAGATTAGAGGTTCCGTGGCCACAACCAAACCGCGCCCACCCCTATAGTAAACCCATTTTAAAATCAATTTCTATAATATGGACCATTCATTTTTTAAAATTTGTTGAGCAGAATATTCATACAAAAAAAATTAAAGATGATTGAATATCGGTAGTTATATGTTCGAATTATATATGTTTTAAAAAAAAATGGACGACCAATATAATTTTAAGAATATTCTTCTATTTTTTATAATATGAAATATTCAATCATATTGATTTTTTGTATGAATATTGTACTCAACGAGTCCTAAAATTAAATGGTTTGGATCATCAAAGTCAATCTTAAAATGAACCTACCAAATCCAAATATTCTCTCAAATTGACATAACTAACATGAGAGAATCCTAACCCATTGATTAGGGTAAATTACAAATACGTCATGAGATTTTATTAAAATACAAATTACTTCCTGTGATTTTAAAAATTACATTCCATCCCTTGAGGTTTTTAATTTTATAACAAATTATCCCTTTTATTAATAAATCATTAAGTCAATTAACAATTTTCAATGATGTTAAAAATATATTTCAATTAATAATTTAGATAATTTTATTATTATATAGGAAAATAATTATGAATTTTAATTCTGTTAAATAAAAAAATTTAATAAAAAAATATTTATAATTTTTAAATCATAAAAACTAATTTACATTTTAAATAATTTTCAAAAAATATAGTATTTATAATTTACCCCCATTAATTATTATAGAGTTTTCCCTAAGCTTTGTGAAATGAGCCTAAGGAGTGTTGTAGCTAGGAGTGATCATCGATTTGATGGTCTGCCCAAGTTATTCAGTCCAACTCAATATTTTAAAGACACAAAAAAATATATTTTATTCATAGCATCATGTTGGATTTGAAATTTTTATATCCATTTAATATTCAAACTAAAAATAATGAGTTCTAACTCACTCAACCTGACGTGCCCATTTGTAATATATTAATTATAATATTATATTAATTTAATTATAAAATAAATATATATACATATAAAAGACATACTTTTCTATAACTTAAATTAAAAAATTTGTCAAAAATCAAATTTATTTTAATATTGAATTTTGTTAATGTTCTAAATTCAAATAATAAATAAAAACATCCGAACAATTTAATGTCCATCCAAAAATAATAATAGTACTAAGGCCTCGTTTGGGAACAGGTTAATTTAGTAACTTTTTGGCTATTTGGCTAAAAAGGTAGGTAAAAAAAACTTATATGTTGGGGATGACTTTTTGGCTAATTACGAAAAGATATGCAAAAAGTAGAGAGAAAAGAGAATCTTTGACTTTTTGGTACTATAGTATATTTGTCAAAAATCAAATTTATTTTAATATTGAATTTTGTTAATGTTCTAAATTCAAATAATAAATAAAAAAATCCGAACAATTTAATGTCCATCCAAAAATAATAATAGTACTAAATAAAATTAATAACTCACCTATTAGGGATAAAGAAGGCAAGCTTGTAATTTGAAATTTTTTTGATTGAGCTTGAAATGTTTAGATTAGGTCCAATGTCAAGTCAAGTTGGACTTGAAATGACACATATTCTTTTATTATATAGCGTAAGTTGGGCCCAAATCCAATCCGATCACCCAACCTAAGACTTGTCCACTTCTCTAGTTGTACAAAAATTATTGGTTGGTCTAAGGTGTTACGTAGTCATATCCCTCACCAATCAGAATTTATTATGTCTCTCATATTCATCAATCACTCAATATAAATTTGTGAGCTCAATCCTTTCTACCAATTATAATATCATAAAAATATCACATGAGAATATTTCAAGACCCACCAATAACTTCTAACTGTGAGGCGAAT